AGACTAAACCCGACGTAGTACGATGGCCGTTAATCTAAGGGCATATTTGCTTATGTTTTGAATGATTTGCAGCTGCGAGAATACATTGATGACACAGAAGATTATATCAATATCCAGGTAACAAGAAGTGAAAGGTTCCGATCTACTACTGATCATCTTTCTTCTTCTTCTTCTTTGTTTCTGAGTTATCATTGGTTTTGCAGCTTGACAATCACCGAAATCAACTCATTCAGGTCCTACATCCTTCCATATATTAATTAATGAGATTTTCTTGGCTGCCCAGATTCTTATTTATTAAAATTTCAACTTTGCTGGGTGTCTTGATCTGCAGTTGGAGCTCTTTTTAAGCTCTGGAACTGTTTGTTTGTCTGTCTATTCTTTGGTGGGTGCAATATTCGGCATGAACATTCCATACACTTGGAATGAAAATCACGAGTACATGTTTAAATGGGTATGGCTGAATAACTCGACTATGATTTCTAACTTCGAATGCGGGAACCTGAACAAGAGCTCATAACCATCATCACGTGTTCATTATGTGCAGGTTGTCATCGTTTCTGGAGTAGCTTGTGCGTTAATGTTCGTCGCAATTATTTACTATGCTCGCCTCAAAGGTTTGGTCGGATCTTGATCTTCTTGTATTCGAACCGATCCTTTACAAGATCATAAGGAAAAGAAAAAGAAAAAGAAAAAGAAAAAGAAAAAGAAAAAGAGGGTCCATTGGAGATGAGTTTAGAGTGAAAGACATAGCTGACTTTACTTGATAATTGATAATTGTGTTCATCTTATTTGAAGCTTCGGACTCTATTGATAATTGTATAAACATCATATATAATGAAAATTTCTTAGAAAAAAACAATCAAAGTTTGAGAGAGAAAATCATTTATTTAGCCTAAACACGGGTAAAACAGCTCAAATCTATGGTTAGCAAATTGTCTGGTTTGATCCGTTACATATCGCTGTCAGCCTCACAGTTTTAAAGCTTGTCTACGAGGGAGATGTTTCCACGCCCTTTTAAGGAATACTTCGTTCACCTCTTCCACTGATGTGAGATTTTACAATTTTCTCACTTTGGACGTCCAACAACAGAATGCTTTATTTTCCTCTTCAACTTCTTTATCCAACATGCATGACATGAGCAATCATTTGTATTTTTTTTTTTCTGTCTTTTCCTCTTTTGCTTTTACTTTTCAATTTATTTAATTAAGATTTTGCAACCAATTATGGAAAAATCTCAAATCTTTAACCCTCTTCGCGCAACATTCCTTTTGCTTTTGCCTTTCTTTGCAACTTGTTCAATCAAAGGAGGATTCTCCAACCACCCCAACACAGGATTATTTTTGAGTCACGGTTAAGATATAAAAAAATTCCATCTTTTTGTAGCTCTATTCCAACCAGTGCATTGCAACGTTTGATAACTGACTTTAAACTATTTATAACAGCCCAAGTCACCGCCAGTAAATACTGTCTACTTTGGTTTGTTACGTATTATTGTTAGCTTCACAGTTTTAAAACACATCTAAAGAGGTTTTTACACACACATCTAAGAAATAATTCGTTTCCTCTCTAATTGATGTAGGATCTCCCGGTACTCACTGAAAAACATGAATTTGAATCGACTTTTAAGATACTATTTCAATTGATTAACCTATGAATTAGATGAAGATCACTCTTACTTCTATTGAAATCACAAGTAATTTACCTTGTTAAAAGCATAATAAATATATAATTAACCGAGCTTTGGTTAAAGTTAACACAGAAGTAGAGTTAGGTCTAAATCTTGCTAGCTGAAACGTGACTTCCTACTATTATATCAGGGCATCTTCAAAAAGCTTGGTTTTACCATTCATTTGTTAGATTTTATCACCGATCTCTGAATTCAAGTATAGTTTAGTCGATACGATATCACACTACAAAACAATATTGACAATTTTCTTAAAAAGACTAATCAATGATTAAACCATACTTTAGGAAGGAAATTGATTATGAGGTTCTACATTGATTGAAGAGGAGAACGAATATTTTTTATAAGGGTGTGGAAACCTTACCTAGCAGACGCATTTTAAAATCTTGAGGGGATGCTTGAAGGGAAAGCTCAAAAGGTAAAGCCTAAAGAGAACAATATCGGCTAGCGATGAGGTTGAGCTGTTACAAATGGTATTAGAGCTAGACACAGGACGGTGTGCCAGCAAAAAATCTAGCCCCTAAAAGGGTGGATCTCACATCAATTGGAGAGGGGAACGTGTACCATAGAATGAATAAATTATCTACATGACGAAGTGTGGTTGTCACTTGCATTACTATTGGAATATATAGTCAAAATAATCGATTAAACCTAACTCGTATGGTTATAACATCATACTTTTAATAATAAAAAAACGTTAAATGTTTGAATTTTTACCCCTTTTTTTTTAATTACTGAACTAAAAAAAATATGGTGAAGATGTAAAATTTCGATTCCGTTTTACTAAGAAACGAGTAAAACGACAATGATACCGAAAGGAGGAGGCATCCTATAAGTTCAAGCTAAGAACCACCCTTGAGAATTTGTGAAAGAGGTGACAGGGTAAGGTAGAGGCATATATTCCTAACCTTGTGGGTACGATTTGTTTATTGACAGGATATTAAAAGATGTATCCTATAAGATTTTTGGTGTTTCGTCTTTACACAAAGTTGTATTCAAATTCCTTGGTGCTTTGACTGTGAAGACTAATCTCTTAATCATCGTTGTTAGCTCTCAACTTTATACAATCAAAGTTTTATAGCTTTCTCATTTTTCTATTTTTAAATCTTTGTTTACTCAATACTTAGTTTTTGGTCATTGGGATAATGAATGATATAAAGACTTGACTTTGTTTAAGATATTCACATTAAAATTTCTTATGTTTCAAGAAAAAAGGTCATATACATGATCCGAAAAAAACATTTATACCCTTAAATTTTATAGGTCTAATTGATTATAGGATGGAGGTCAGTCCCTTGTGATCAAAGTCTCACAATGACACGATAGGAAAAAGTGCTATAAAAAAGTAAAATCATGAGAATTTAACTTAAAGTAGATAATATCATACTATCATGGAGATATGTGGAGGCTCGTGGTTCTTAAAAAATGCTATCAAAATTATGCTCCTAACTTAGTCACCCGGCGCCAATGTTAGTTTATTGGATAAGTGATTTATTGTGAAGAAGAGGAGTTGTGAAACAAGAGAGTTGAATGGTTGTTTGTGAGATCCCACATCGGTTGGAGAGGGGAACGAAGCATTCCTTATAAGAGTGTTAGAACCTTTCTCTAGTAGACGTGTAAACTGTGAGGCTAACGACGATACGTAATAGGCCAAAGCGGACAATATCTACTAGCAAAAGAAAGAGTTTGAGGAAAAAAAAGTCGAAAGAAAAACCAGAATTGAGTGAAAAATTAGAAAAAAATCCAGAGAAGAAAAAGTGAAGAGAAGAATGAAAAAGAGATGAAATTGAAAAAAAAAAAAGGAAAGAAAGTGAGATGTTTGGCTAGAGTTGGAGAGGTGAGAAGGACAATATTTTCACAAAATACCATCTTTGTACTTGAAATTCAAAGGCAAGTGGAGGAGCTCATGGGGGAAAGACTAATTACGAGAAAGTTTGAGTCCATGTTATGTATCAGTCTAATTGTCGTCAAAGAAAGATGAAACTTGACGCATGTGCGTGGATAATAGAGTCATCAATAAAATCACTGTAAAGTATTGACATCCTATTCCTAGGCTAGATGATATGCTTGATGAATTGCATCATTCATGTCTATTTTCATGTCTATTTATAAAGATTGTTTTGAAATCTAAATATCATCAAATTAGAATGCAGGTAGGAGATGAATGGAAAACAACTTTCAAAATTAAGTTTGGATGGTATGAATGATTTGTTATGCCTTTTGGATTAACTATTGCTCCTAGTACATTTATGAGCTTAGCTTAATGAATCATGTTTTGAGAGAATATCTAGGAAAACATGTTGTTTTGTATTTTGATGATATTTTAATTATTTGAAGACTTTATTCGAGAGCATGTGGAGCATGTTAAGTCAGTTTTGATTACACGTAGAAAAGAGAAATTTTAAGGGTATGTTTGGATAGAAAAAGTTCACTTTCTTGGCTTTGGTAAAAATGGAGTAAAAGTACAAAGAAGAAAGTTAAAGTCATTAAGAATTTACCAACATCAGAGTGAAGTTCGGAGTTTTCATAGATTAGCTAACTTCTATAAAAGATTTTAGCATCGTAGTATTGTTTTAACCAAAAACTGCAAGTGAAGTGTTGTTTTAACCCAAAAAAAATGCACCATTGACTTGAATAAGAAGGTTGTTTTTAAAGGGAAAAATGCAAGAGAAGGCATTCAATTTGATTAAGAAAAGAGTAAGCAAGATACCATTACTTGTTTTTGCCTAACTTTGATAAAACTTTTAAGATTGAATGTGAGGGGAGTGGTTTCATATGCGTTGTTTTAATTTAATACGGAAATCCTGAATTTTAGGAAAAAACTGACTCGATTGAATCATCCTACCTATGATAGAGAATTTAGATTTAATTCATAACAAATGTGGCCACCCTATTTCTCGGCTCGAGAATTTGTGATCGACTTTGATCATGAAAGAAAGGTTTATGTCAAGGGTTATAACAAACTGAACCATAGTCATGCAAAGTGGGTAGAGTTAGCTCAAATCAAGAAAACGAGAATGACATCAGGTTCAGTAGTTAGAGGTTCGGGGGCCATCCTCGACGCCTTGTCTGAACGAGCGCTTCTTTTCTTTCCTCCTGGCCCGATATGCCCTGAGTGAGCTACTGAACAGATACATCTATTGAGTGAGAGAAAGGGAGAAAACTCTCAATATTCTTCATTTTGAGTGTGGATTACAAATTCTTTTCTTCCCACAAGAAGAACATTGGTTTGTTTCATACACTTCAACCCTTTCAGTCTTTTCTAGAACATTTTTGTGTATAAATATACCTAACAATTCCAATCCACAACACAACCAAACCCTATTCCACCTTCTTTCCTTCTGTTTTCACTTCTCTCTTCATCCAAACCATGGCCACTGCACCTGGATTGCTGGATCCTGTGCAGTCATCCACCTTTAAGGAGCAGATGAGAAAGAGACATTACAACGACTACTTTGTCTACGGCAGCATTAACTTCAAACATTTGAATGATGACTCAACTAAAATTGACATTCCAATTCCGAATTACATCTCAGCTATTGAGAGCATCATTACCGCTACAAATCGAATTACTGATACCGTTCATCATCGCGTAAAAATCTTTATTATTCTCCGTAAAGTTTGACACTTTCTTTATTTTTATAACGACATAACGAATAATTATTATCATACTCATGCAGGGGAGCGAAGGTTCATTAGATGTTAATGTTGTGATCGAGCCTCCGTTGTGTATTCTTAATCATATATCTAGCGAGGTCATTTTTCAATTTTTTAATAACCCTTTTGAAATCTCTAATCAAAATTTCAAAACATGCATCAAAGGAGATACCTTTTTGTTTCTTACAACTTTGATTTTAATATCATTTTCAGCTTTGGTGCAACCCTCCCGGGATTGGAAGTGCACACGAGAATACACTAACAATCTTCGAAATATTGGCAAATTATCCATGGGAAGCCAAGGCAGCTCTCACTTTGTTAGCCTTTGCAACAGATTATGGAGACTTATGGCATCCCTATCCTTATTCCCATACCGATCCATTGGCTAAATCATTGGCAATTATCAAGCGAGTAGGTATGTTGAAGAAGCACTTGGACTCGCTTCCATACCAACAAGTGCTTCTCAATCCTAACAGTCTCATTCAAATGTGCTTGCAAGCAATCAAACGTATGAATGAGATACGAGAATTCAAAAAATATTATCTCAATGACCCTCTTGAGTTAGCTTCTGCTCTTCGTCAGATTCCATTGGTTACTTATTGGGTTATACACATTATCGTGGCTTCTAGCATTGAGCTATCCAGCTATCTCACCGAAACCAAGTAAGTAATAATTTATCTGTTCACTTTTGTAAATGGTTAGAAATGTTTATTTAATCTGCCGAGTTGGGCTCGGTTTAGACCTGCCTTAAATGAATGAAACGGAGAATCCATGTGCCTTAAATGAATGAAATGGAGAATCCGATTTCTGTTCTTGGTGTGGGGGGAGTAGGAAGAGATTTTTGATCCCAACCTTGTTCAATTCTGGTAGGGGGAAGGGGGTAGGAAGAGATTTCTGATCCCGACCCTGTTCAATTCTGGTAGGGGGAAGGGGAGTGGGGGGGGGGGGGGGGGGGGGGGG